TTATATTTTTTTTTTATTTTTTATTATTTTTTTTATTTTCTTTATTTTTTTTTATTTTTATTTCAGTGTTTTTAAAAATTTGTTTGTTTTTATTTATTATTTTTTATTTCAGTTTATTATTTATTTATTAACAAATAATTATTTATTTATTAATAAATAATTATTTATTTATTAATAAATAATTATTTATTTATTAATAAATAAATAGTAACATTACCATTACAATAAAAAATTCTTCAAATTTAGATTTGCAATAAAAAAGTTTACCAACTAATTAATTTTAAAAGACCTATTTTTAGAAATTTTGTACTTAAACAAACAAACTAATTACCGCGTGGATTTGTTATGGTATAAAGTTAATTCGAAAAAAAGTGACTTTTGAACTTTTCGAATAAAAAGAAGTTCAGATTCGACAGATGGGAAAACGGTTCTATAAAAGACACAAACCATCTGGCTCTACTGTTGTAGATGTCGATGGTGTTGAAGAAGAAGGAACTATCTAATAAAAGCAAAAAAAAAAAAAAAAAAAAAAACACGAAAAAAACAAGAAAACCGACACAAAAGCAATTTCGCGTTTCATCTAAAGATTCTTCTGGTGCGTTAGTTTTTTTTTTGTTTTCTATTTTTTCCTCTTCATACAGCTCGAGCCACATTCATGCATATTAAAGATCAACGTTTAATTATAAAAAACCGCGTATTTTCATTTATTTACCCGGAAATTAAAATTCTTATCAGACAATAATAATTTTTCATTCGTTCAATTAATCAAAAATAGAAATTTTTTTTTTACTTTCAGAAAAGATTTCTAATTTATTTGTTAAGAAATATTTTCTAAAATTCCAAAAGAGTATTTCTAAAAAAAAGCATTTCTAAAATCTCATGTATAGGATTGTGTTTGATAAAATTCGATTAAAATGTTCTGTTGCGTATATTCTGATGGAATATTTTAATATTCGTTTGAAACATTTTTTATTGATATAGATAAAAATTATTTCAACAATAAAATATTTCATATTGAATAAATCGTTTTGGCATTGTTTTTCGATGGAAATTTTTAAATTACATATTGATTTTTCTATTACATTAGGTACACAATATAATAACGAATTCTCCACAAGTAGGTACTTAAACTTTCAGAATAAAATAAGAAGTTATATTTTTCTTTGCATTCAAAGATAAAGCGGCAATTTTTATATTGCCGTTTGTCAGAAGTTCTTGTCACAACGATGTATGTAATATATATTATGAGAGATATATAGATATATATTTATGCAGAAGGGATGAAGGGGAGCTAGGGCACTTAAGCTTCTAAATCCGCCATATTTCCCACTAGTCTTTATTTATTACATGTTTTCCTTACAAGGTTCAACTTTCATCGCGATATGTTTTTTTTTTCTTCTTTCATTCTTTTTGACTCGTGCGCGCCCCCACCAAAATATACTTATACACTTTTATTTTGAATTATGATTTTGACATAAATTTTTGAATTATATGTCAATTATAAATTATACAGACAAGGTAGACGTACAAGTGTAAGTTAGAGTCGAAATTACGTGGTGTAATGGAAAAAAAAGAAAGGGAAGGGGAAAAAAAAGAAATCTCTTATACAAACTGCAAAGAAAATTGATTATGTCGAGTGGACCATCTCTACATTTACATGTCGTGTTTCAATGCCTCGAGACAAATGGTCGTTATCGCATACAAGCACTCGGTGAGCAATAGTAACATTGAATGGAAGAATTTCTTTTGTTATGGGATGAAACTCTTTGAAATGGAATCTATTAAAAGGATTTTCATTCGCGGAATCACAAGAAAGAACATTCGTTTCTATTTTTGCTTCTTCACTATTTATTATTATTATTATTATTCCTATTATATATTTCGTAACAATTTTTTACGTGAGTCATTTTCGATTATAAAGTAGGGTACTAATGAAATTTCAAATTCTCAATTAGATATAAATTCAGGGTTGCCACGCTTTTGCTCTTTTCAAATTTCCTGACTTTTACAGGTTTTCCAGATTAAAAAACGGCATTTTTCCAGGTTTTTAATTCGAAAATATCAATAACTTCATTTTTAAATAAATATTTAATCATTATTATTTTTTCATATAGAAATTAAAATTTTCAAAAATTTCAAATTCAGTAACTTATAAGAATATTACTATAAAACATGAAGATACCGATCACTCCGAGTATTCGACTCGGAGTGATCGCTTTCTTCATGTTTTATAATAATTAAAACTTGCTACTTTGTTACTGTAACTTCTTCAAAAATTATTTTCATCATTACGATTATTCATTTCTAGAATTTTTAACTAAAATTCTTCTTCAGGTCAATTTTTTTTAACAAGTTTTAAAAAAATTTCTTTGAGAATTTTCAAATTCTTTTTTTTTTACAATTTCATTTTATGAAATTTCGATTATTCTGACATTCCTCAATTAAATGTATTAGAAATTAAAAACTTTAAATAATTTTTAAAAAAATACATTAAATTTTTTGAAAAAACTTAATTCTACACAATTTTTAATTATAATTTAAAATTTTAACTGAAATTCATTTTTACATCAATATTTATTAGAACATTCTACGAGAATGCAATTATTTAACGACAAGAATAAATATTTTATTAAATAATTAAATGTTTCTTAAAATTGAATTTTCATACAGAACTTTATCAACAACATTTTTAAATAATTTAATTCTCTTGACAAATTTTAATAAATTTTTAAGAATAATTTCATTTTTCGAGAAATTTGATAAAAATTGTATTAAAAATAATTGAAATTCTGCCAAGAATTTTATTATAATTTTTGAAAATAATTGAATTTCGAAGAGGAATTTTATTTTTTATAAAGATAATTGAAATTTTGACAAGAATTTTTGTAAATTTTTGAACATAATTCTTGGGAAGAATTTTATTAAAATTTCTTAAATAATTGAATTGCTTCAAAGAATTTTATTTTTTACGAAAATATTTGAATTGTTTCGAAGATTTTTACACACATTTTTGACAATAATTATTTTCCTAATAGGAAGATTGTTATATTTTACAAAAAAAATTGTATTCTATGATCAATGTTGTTATAATTTTTAAAATTTATAAAGCATTTTATCAAAATTTAAAAAAAATTTAATTCTCGAGAATTTTATTCAAATTTTTTTTAAATAATTGAATTCCCATAAAAAATGTATTGTTTGTGAAAATAATTGAATTCTTAAGAAGAATTGTATTGAAAATAATTGAATTGTATAGGAAAATTTATTAAAATTTTGTTTAAATAATTGAATTATTTTAAAAAATTGTATTAAAATAGTAGATATTAAAAATAATTGAAATGAGAAAAATTTTTGAAAATAATTGAAATGCTGCTAAGAATTTTATTATAATTTTTAAAAATAATTGCATTTCGTAGAGGAATTTTATTTTTTTTAAAGATAATTGAAATTTTGACGAGAATTTTTGTAAATTTTTGAACATAATTAGATTTCTGCGAAGAATTGGTATACTTTTAAAAATAATTGAATTCCCGAGACGAATTTTATTAAAATTTTTTTTTATATAATCGAATTCTTTTGTAAAATTTTATTGAAATGGTAGACATTGGAAATAATTAAATTTTCCCAAAATTTTTGAAATTAATTAAATTTCTACGAAGAATTTTATGAAAATTATTTTGAAAAAAATTTTATTTTTACAAAGAATTTCATTGTTTATTAAAATAATTCATTTTTTTAAAGAAATTTAATTAAAAATGTATTGAAAATAATACTTAAATTGTAATAAATAAATTGTAGCAAAAGTTTTTGAAATAATTGAATTTCTTTGCTGAATTTCAAGAAAATTTTCAAGAATAATTACTTTTTTCGAGGAATTCCATTAAAATTGTATTAAAAATTAAAAATAATTGAAAGTCTGTGATAAGTTGTATTATGTATTTATGAAAATAATTGAATCCCTGTAAAAAATGTTATTATTTATTAAAATCATTGAATAATAATTTCAAATTAAAATTTGTTAGAAATCTTTAAAAACAGGCGAAATTTCAGATAATAATATATTAATAATAATACAAAAAAAATAATAATAAAAATAATTTGTGACAATTGTATCATATTGAGAAATTAATAATTGGTTCCAATTGTTTATTAATTAAACTTTCAATAAAATTGTTAATTCCTGTAAATAAATAAATAAAGTTTAATTTAACTTTTTTATGTTAATTTTTTTGTTTCTATATTTATAAAATTTAAAAAAAAGAACAAAAATTCTATCATAAGATTAGTACAACATATAATTAAGTAGCCAATAAATAATTAAAAATATTAACTTATATTTAAAAATATTAACAATTAACTTATCATGAACGATGATAATATACCAATAAAGAAAAAAGTCACACTCAATAATACAAAACCATAGTAAATTTTTTATTATTTTTAAAAACGTTTTTAAATTTATTCCAAAAGAAATAAATTTTATATAATTTCAATTTGACGTGTGATTGTTACATAAAAAGTAGTTCTAATAAATGTATAATCGAAATCACTTTTATGGTTATTTAAATTTTCAAATTAAAGTAGAGTACTCGCGCCAATTTTTTAACGGATTTAAAAATGTAAACCCTTTTTTTTGAATAATGCATCTATTCTATTTCGCGCTTCAAATAAAATAGATTCATCCATTCATTGAGTATTAAATATTTAATTTTAACAATTCAATTTCGAATAAAAATCAGTGCACTTTATACAATTTTCTGTAAATTTAAAAAAAAATATGCAAAAATACTGAAACTAACAATAAAACACATAGAAAAATGATATATATATATATATATTTTCACATAGAAAAATTTTCTAACACATAGAAAATGTTTAGTGCGTGCGCAATTAAGTAATGCGCACGCGCGACTCAGTGCATAACCGACGGTAGTCGAGTTTAGTCGAACAGAGTCGAATCGGCGCGTGGCGCCTCCAACAATTTCCAGTCGTGAGTTGACCATCGCGTCAACAGTTGCGTTTCTGAATACAGTCCGTATATTTTCATTTGAGTCCACATTTTTAATGTGGACAACGATTTCTCGAAGTAAATAACAAAACGAAATATTTTTTATCGGTTAATTTCATTCAGGAACAAAGTGAATACAGGACGGAAAGTCTTGACGTCGCGAAGTTAGTGACATTTTTTTTTATTCAATAGTTTTCAACATGTTTACAAAAAGTGTGCAGTGAATAGTAAATAATATTACTATTAAAATTGTGCCAGGATTATAGTTTTTTTTCCCCTTAATCAGTGAGAACAGTGTGTACGGAAACATCAAAATTTTTGATGTTATTTTGATATAATAGTTTCAAAGTTTTCTTTCCCGGCAAATTGACATTTGTTAATTGCCGCAAAATGGCGATTGTTGCGATTATTACTTTGGATATGATAAGGGAATAACAATGAAAGTGTAATGGATTTATTACACATGATCAATATTAGTCATATTCACAATATTTGTGTGAAAGTTTAAAACTTCTCTTCGAATTGATTTTGTTTTTATTTTTTTCGTCGGTATTCCGATACTTTAAACGCGAGTGGAATTTTTTTTGTGAGTTTTTACAACAATTTAATAATGAATTTGTGATAGTCATTTTGTATTATTTGGAGATCGAGTTCCTTTTTTTTGGATATTATCAGTGAAAATGGAGCCCCGACGGACCAAATGTTTTTTGCTGTTCACCGCACTCGTATTCTCCGTTAAAGGTTTGTTTCTTTATAATTATTATTGTTTCGATTGAAATCCCTCGGAATAATCGATTGATGGGAATTCTGGGTATCATTTAGCCGGTATTTTTTGTCGAGTGTGCGGGATAAAAAACTTGTTGATATTTCGCAAGTTGATGCTCTAGTTTTTTTTTGGTCACGATACAAAATTAGGTAATAATTATTCCGTTAGTATTTTGTTGACTTGACAGTTTTGTAGGTTATGTTTTATGTCACTCGTGTTGCGAATAATTTCGTGTTTTTATTTATACACTATTAGAGTGCTTTAGCAAAAGTTTTTTGTCTTTTTTTGTCTGTGTAATTTTTTTTGTCATTTAAAAATTCTCAGTAGGTTAAAAAAATATTGAGAAAATATATTTATACATAATTTTAAAGTCGATTGCAGTGTTGTAAAAGTGACATTAAGTTTTTGTTTGTTTTCCATGTCATTTTAATTCTGTTTAGAAAATTATAATGAAAGGTGGTTGGTAAACTAGATAGTGTATAATTACGTTAAATACTTAATTATTGGAAAATATCTTCACAACACGGCATTCTTCATAAATGGTGGTACCGTAAAAGCAATATTTTTTTAGTGTACGTAGTTTTGAACTAATTGGATAGTAAAGCAAATTGTTGCTAATATTTATAGATTGTTGCACCTAATTATAAGTTTAGAGAAAAAATTACAGGATAGATTTCTTTCAGTAGTTTTTGATTATTGACAATTTCAATAGTAATAACTATCTAAAATAGTTAATAATGGTTATAATTTTTACTATAAAATATATTATCATCACCTCTAGTGCAAGTGCTTGAAAATTTTGTCCTTTCGACCGAAACTATTTTTCGGTAGAAATGGTAGAATGAAGATATTTAAAAACCAGTTATAATTGTATAGACTATAGTTTCCTATATGTTCGGATAAAAATGGCAAATGCTGGAATAATTTATGATTGCTAGACAGCCAGTGCTCGGATCGACATAGATGTTACACATAATTTATTATAATCCATACTACGTCCTTAAAAATAACTTTTCTGTGTCTCGTCTGACGTGAGTAAGTAGTTCCCTTATATAGTTGATGATTATCCACAATAATTTTTAACATATATAAGTTTGAACAGCTAGTTTATATAATCATTCAACAAATATCAACACGTTCCATAATATACAATGTAAATTCTCATATATACAATATCCATTTCCAAAACGTATATGTTTAACCAGGCATTCATAATTCAATAATTATTGATAAATACCGGGTAGTTCTTTCCCTTTTTTTCCTCTCTATTCTCCTCAATTATCAAGCCATTTTTGTCAAATTTTCTTTTATTGTCAAATCAATATTTGTTTTGTTAAAAGAATTTCTTGTACAAATTTTAACTCTATTTTAAAACTTACTGACTTTTTGCTAAAATATACACGTCTTTTGTCTGTATTTTTATCACAATTTTTAAAGTAAATTTTAGTAGAAAAATTAGTAAAATTTATTTCTAGAAAAAGTAAAAGTTAATAGAAGCAAAAATTAAAATTGACAGCAAAAAGAAAATTTTAATTTTAGACTTTTTTTTCTCTCTGAATTTGAGTTATACTTAAAAATAATTAATTTGATAGTAAGAAGTCAGTCACTGATTCAAATAGTAATATTTCTACTAATCAAAGAGATTAGTAGAGAGATTAGATTAGATTTTTTTAGGTTATGTCAAAATAACTAAAATTTTTGGTAATTAATTCACAAGTAGAGTTATTGATTGTTTTCCACGCCAGTGAAGTTCACAACTTTTATGATTAAGGATTGAAAGAAAATTTTTTTTTCACTAGGCAAACAAAAATTTTGTTTCTTTTTATCAAAATATTTCGTTTACAAATTTTTTTGTTTTAATTTATTCATTAAAGTATATAAAACATTTAAAAAGAAAAATTTATAAAAATATTATCGCAGAAAAAATATTGTTTCTTCTAAATTGTTGATTATAAATGTTTTGAACCTCGCCTTAGTTATTTTTATTTTACTTCTAATTAGTTATTTTCTACTAATAATTATTTTCTGATGACAGTTAGTTATTTTCTACTATAGTAATGAATTATTTTTTGCTGGTAATTACTTATTTTATACTTGTAATTAATTATTTTCTGATGATAATTAGTTACTTTCTTCTAAAAATTAGTTATTTTCTTCTAATAATTACTTCTTTTTTTTACGAATTGCTGATGTAAAAAATTATTATTTGGTTTTAATCAAAACTTTGTTATTTTAAATAAATTTTATGTAATTGAGTTTAATAATAGTAATTGAGTTTAACTGCGGGATAGATACATTTTTCTCTCCCCGCAGAACGACTTTAGACAAGCCCCCTTAAGCCGAAATAAATTTTTAAAACGAGTATATATTTAAAACTTTAAATTATATTCTTCCTCTGTGGTTAAAACTTGAAAACTTTCGGAAATCAATTAAGCAAGAACTCTCGTTTGGAAATTGAATAATATTTGTTTTCAAATAGAAAATCCACATTGATTTGAAGGGAATCTGTTAAGATTTTCCTCTGTTGTGTAAATGTAAAAAATCTCATTGGACAGAATTTGATATTGGCGGAGAGAAAGAGAGAGAGAGAAAAGGTATTTTGGGCTCTCGTTGAGTAAACTGCTTTGGTGAAAGATTTCGTTGGTGAACGGGTGCTGGGATCCGCCGGCTGTCAATCCCCCAGAACGAGGGAATCGACACTTCCAATTTAAATATGTAAAATACACCCGTAACTCTCAACCTGAGAGAGTGAGAGCGCCTTCCTTTTTTGTCCGATCGTTTCATCGATTTAACTTCTTATGCTTAAGTATCGTACCTGGTGAGCGTTCAATCAAGTCATCTCCCCTTGATCCATTCCTGGGGTATAGTCCATCAAGAGAAATCACTCATTAAGTATGATATCTCCTTTATTTTTCTTTAGTCTCCTCTCTCAATTTTGGTTTCGTTTAGTCTTTAGTATGTCTCCTATTGATTTTAGCTTCGTTTAGTCTTTAGTCGATCGTCTTCTCTTAATTTTAGTTTCGTTTAGACTTTAGTCGCCTGTCTACTCCCAATTTTAGTTTCGTTTAATCTTTAGTACTCTGTCTACTCCCAATTTTAGTTTCGTTTAATCTTTAGTACTCTGTCTACTCCCAATTTTAGTTTCGTTTAATCTTTAGTACTCTGTCTACTCCCAATTTTAGTTTCGTTTAATCTTTAGTACTCTGTCTACTCCCAATTTTAGTTTCGTTTAATCTTTAGTCGTTTAGTGTCTTATTGGAGAAGATAACGAAACTAATGATATTTATTAAATTAATATTAAGTTGAAAGCAAATTAGACTAAGTCTCGTTTAGGAAATTGCAAAGTTTTCGTACACTAATATCTCTTTTCGTATATATTAACTTCACCTCAGCTAGTCATCTTGGAGTCGTAGGTGCTCCTGCGGCACTTGGTGTGTAGAATTATAGACTCGGTACATGTCGAGTTAGTCGGGAACATATACACGAGTCAGCATTAATTAGCGAGTAGTCTAATTAAGTCTTTGACCGTAAAAGGATTGTAGCAGTTGGTGCAAGCGAATCTTATCAGACTTCCTTCTTCTCTCTCTCTCTCTCTCTTAGTCTCTGTATGTCGTCCCCTTATGTACCAGTTGCTTGAATAGTTTCAAAAGATACGATGAAATGTTTGGAGACCACATTTTATTAAGTAATTACCATGATACATTTATGCTTTTAAGATATTCAGAGTAGAAAACTAAATTGATTTTGAATATACATACATGCTGTATGTATAAAACTTGGGATAACGATTCTAGACTTCATTTATAATTCTTGATATACTGTATAGGGGGGTTCTTATTATCTAAGCAAATAAGAAATGTTTGATTGCAAAAAGCGTTCGCGTCGGTGGCTATATGAAGCCTCTTTCTCTCATGCACACGTATAGTACCCATGTCATTGGACGATGTGGTCTCTTGTAAATATTTGTCGTCAAACCAGTATACTCTTCGTTCTTGTATTTACGCAAGCCGGCGGAGTTATTTAGATTTGAATATCTTGACTGAAACTTCCAAAGAGGGTCTTCCAAAAATCCTTCGAGAATACTCGCGCACTTGAAATTGCTGAAAAAATTACAGTTTCTCTACTTTAATTTCAAGAGTAGGTCCACTTTATATTCGGAACTTGTAAATGTGACTATTTTTCTAAACTTTTTTGCTCGCTTTTTGGCTCGCTTTTTGGACTACGAACAGCATCTGAATCTGCAGCAATTTTGAAAATATTGATGCTTTGAGTGTAAAATAACTTGAAAATAATTGTTCAAATTTTCAACGAAAATATTTCTATTATCCGAACTTTCGGTTATCCGAACTAGGTCCCGCTTGAATTAGTTTAGATAATCGAGATTCCACTGTATTAGAATGGAAGTATTTTTACTTATCAAATTTCAAGCATAGAAGCAATCTAGTATAGTGGGATAATCTGTTCCATAGTCGAGAATTTAGTGTTTGGAGTTTAAGTCTGATTTTGATACTAGTTAAGCTATCTTTGAGTATACTTGTGAATTATAATGATTTTAGTTTTGCGATTCGATTGTATATCGCTCGCTCTCTCTCTCTTTCTCGATTCCGAACCACTTTCCATGTGCAGTATTTAAGTGTGTTCCAAGTTTTAAGTTCAATAAATGACATCATGCTCGCTAGAATTAAGTAAAGTTTTGCTCCAGGTTATGCTTCTAGACACCTTAGACTGAAAACTAGATTAAACATTTAACGTCATTCTGAAATATGTGTAGTAAAATATTAGATTTCAGTTCTCGTATTTTACACTTTTTGATATAAGCGTAAGCTGCATTTTGGATTATCATTTTTGCTTCACTTGTTTCTTTTCAACAAAAAAGTAGTATCATTTTCATAAGTAATGAAAATGATTGTAAATTACAATAATAAACCAAAAAGTAGATTCATGAAAAATAATTTAGAATTTCTAGAGACTATAA